AAGCTAGGGTTTAGGGTTTAGGGTTTATTGTTTACCTGGAGTACACCCGGCATAACAGCTCTTTCGGGGAAGTGTCCATTGAACTGTATTTCGTTATTTGTGATTTGTTTAATGCCGACGGCTTTTTCTGCTTTTTTAAAAAAAATAATTTTATCGATCAACAGAAAGGGGTAGCGGTGGGGGAGTATTTTCTTTATATCTTCAGCTGTATATACAGCTGATGATATACTAGAGGTTAGAGAAGACACGCTCTTTGCATCCATATATAATTCATTGCTGCTGCTGCTGCTGCTGCTGCTGTTGCTGCTGCTGCTGGAGGCTGCTGCTGCTGAGGAAGGGGAAGCGTTTAAAGCGGATGTGCTGTCTTTTGCTGCTGCTGGTGATGCAGTTAGATCGGTTGCTGCTGCTGTTGCTGTTGGTGGTGCTGCTGTTGCTGCTGTTGCTGCTGGTGATGCTGCTGCTGCTGCTGCTGCTGCTGCTGCTGCTGAGGTAACATTGAGAGAGTTTGTCGGGGGCCTAATAGTAAAGGCAGCAGAAGAAAGACAAAAATAAAATAAACAAAGACAGAGAAACTTACACACAACACACACAGTCGTCATCTTAGCTGCTGTTGCTGCTGCTGCTGCTGCTGCTGCTGCTCGTGTTGCTGCTGCTGCTGCTGCTGCTGCTGCTGCTGTTGCTGCAGTTAAAGCTTTTGTTTTCAGTACGACTAGGTGTTTATGGAGACAAACAAAACAACAAAAACTATAAAACAATTGCTGCTGCTGCTAGCAGCAACGAGACAGCAGCAGCGAGACAGACGGTGGAGTCGGCTGCTCCCTGGCGTTCCCTGGTTTGGGGCTTTGCTGCAGTTTGCATGCGCAGCAGCAGCAGCTGCTGCTGCTGCTGCTGTGGCTGCTGCTGCTGCTGCTGCTGCAGCAGCAGCAATTTCTAGAGCGGCCCCTTCTTTGTCAACAAAAAAAACAAAAAGAGTTTCAACTGAATTTGTTTTACAGCAGGAGACGAAGAAGGCTCGGAGCCAAACCCTAAACCCTAAACCCTAAACCCTAAACCCTAAACCCTAAACCCTCGGGCTGAAACCCTAAACCCTGAGGGAGAGTATAAGGGTTTAAGGGTTTATAAAGAAATAATAATGCGCTGATTCGTGTTGCTGCAGCAGCAACAATGTGGACGCAGGGGGGGGCTCACCCCCAGCAGTACCTGCAGCAGCAGCAGCAGCAGCAGCAGCAGCAGCAGCACCACATGCAGCAGTACATGCAGCAGCACATGGGGGGGTATCCTGCTGCTGGGTATGACCCCACGCAGCAGCAGCAGATGCACCAGATGATGCTGCAGCAGCAGCACTACATGCAGCAGCAGCAGCACATGCAGCAGCAGCAGCATATGCAGCAGCATCCGCACATGCAGCAGCAGCAGCATATGCAGCAGCAGCAGCACATGCAGCAGCAGCAGCAATACATGCAGCAGCAGCAGCAGCAGCAACATACACCAGCAGCTTACCCCTATCAGCAGCAGCAAATGTATGCTCAGGGCTACGGCTTCTCTCCCCCTACAAATTCTTCTTATGCTTCATCTGCTGCTGCTTCTGCTGCAGCAGCAGCAGCAGCAACTCCAGGCACTGCAGCAACAGCATCAGCAGCAGCAGCAGCAGCAGCAGCAGCAGCAAGTCCCTATGGACAAACACCACAGATGTCTCCGTATGGCTCAGCCTTCAGCAGCAGACAAACCGCGCAACCACCAGCAGACCCTGAACTCGTTAAACGCATACGCACCATGGCAGGCAAGGGTTTAGGGTTTAGGGTTTAGGGTTTAGGGTTTAGGGGTTTAGGGTTTAGGGTTTAGGGTTTATCGGTTGCAAGTTGGGGTGTAGGGTTTGGAATTATGAAGTTCTAGGGTTTAGGGTTTAGGGTTCAGCGTATAAGTCTTTTTCTCTCCTAGGGTTTAGGGTTTAGGGTTTAGGGTTTAGGGTTTAGGGTTTAGGGTTTGTGGTTTAGAGTATTGCGGCCGCAACCCCGAGATGGAGAGGCTGGTGAGACAGAGAGATGGGGGGGACCCCCGCTTCTCTTTTTTGATGGGGGGCGAGGGTTACGACTACTACAGGTAAACCCTAAACCCTAAACCCTAAACCCTAAACCCTAGCTAAACCCTAAACCCTAAACCCTAGTTTGTAAACCCTAGTTTATATAAACCCTAAACCCTAGATTTTTTAAACCCTAAACCCTAGATGCTAGAGAGGAGAATGTGAAATGCAGGTAAATACAAAACAAAGGACTGCAATGAAGGCTTCTTATTGAGGGTTTAGGGTTTAGGGTTTAGGGTTTAGGGTTTAGGGTTTAGGGTTTGTGTTGCAGGTATCTCGTGAGTTGCTACGAGAAGGGTTTAACCCCTGATCAGGAGGGTTTGCGTCCGCCCCCTCCTCCTCCTCCCCCCCAGCAGCAGCAGCAGCAGCAGCAGCAGCAGCAGCAGCAGCAGCAGGAGGCAGCAGCAGCAGCGTGGGGTTACGATATAGAGTCTCTGCTGCTGCTGTATAAACAGAAGCAGCACGTAAACCCTCTCAGCCCAAATAGAGAGAAAGAGCTTATAGATGTTTTACAAACCCTAGAAAAAGAAGCAACAGCAGAACATATTCGTGCTGCTAGGCGGTGGTTTGAGGTTTGCTGCTGCTGCAGCAGCAGCAGCAGCAGCAACAGCAGCAACAGCAGCAGCAGCAGCAGCAGCAGCAACGGAGATGTAGATGCTGCTGCTGCTGCTACCATTGCTGCTGCTATGTATAAACACCAAAAAACACTAAAAACACACAACCATAAGCTGCATGCACTCTATCTAGCTCATGATATTGTACAGGTAAACCCTAAACCCTAAACCCTAAACCCTAAACCCTCGGGAGATACTTTATTGGTGTTGCAAAGGGTTTCGTGCTGCTGTGTTTTCTTGTTTGTTTATATGGTGTTTAGGGTTTTATTTATTTATTTATTTATTATTTTATTTATTTATTTATTTATTTATATATTTATTTATTTATACATTTATATATTTATTTACTAATATATTTATCAACTTATTTATTAATTTACATAGATATATTTATATATTTATATATTTATATATTTATTTATACATATATTTATTTATATACTTATATATTTATATATTTATTTATATATTTATTTATATATTTATTTATATATTTATTTATTTTGTTTATATATTTATTTATTTATTTATTTATTTATTTTTTTTTTTATTTTTATTTTTTTTTTTTTTTT